TCCCTACACGACGCTCTTCCGATCTCCCCAAAACCCCAAAACCCCGTGTATCTGTAATTTAAAACTATATGTAGGTTGAGAATTAAATGAAACAAACAACATATTAAAGATAAATTTTTGTTATTAATAATCAAGCTAAATGGAGATAAAAACAGTCTTGGATCTTAAAGATTTAGACTCCCTTAATTAGTCTGTGTTCATACCAGCACGTAAGACGGGAATACTAGGATTTGCCACTCTAGCAGTCTAGCCCCCTTATGAGCAGCATAAAATGTAATTAAGGCAGCTCTATGTGCAGCAATAGAGCAATGAAAATCTAGGGTTACAAACTGACAAAGAAAAGGAGGTATAGTCCTATCTAGAAAATTTGCAATCCATTTGCTACCTTAATGGTGTTAAAATTGACAACATACTCATTAGAACTCTGGCACCAGGCATGGGAAAAACAGCGAGTCTCTCGCCAAGTAAGAAGCAGTCTGTAAGTTTGATAGACGGGGATGCTCTGGAGGTTCTTAAATAAACAACAATATCCCATTACACCATTACGACTTGCCTTGGATAAAAGAGATATATCTCATTTTTGTTGTGCTACGAACCGATATATGTGGGTCTTATTCCTCAAACTCATCTCTAATAAGCAATGAATGAGTTTGTCTTACTGCCCTTCGCTTACGTGATCGTGCAGGATTCCCCTGCATTCGATTTTTCCAAGCAGATACTGAAGGGGGTCTTTGAGACTTCTATTCTTCCTTATTACTAAATGCTGTGCATTATTGATTAATCCTCAATGAAGCAGTAATCTTACATCCAACCTCTGAAAGTTGACCTGCTACTTTGTTATATGTTCAAAATCATTAACAGACCTCTCGATGATATCAACGTGAAAATTCTGAGTGACCTTAGAGACAACGGTACTCCCATCGTTTATGAAGAATGCATACAGATTTACGATTTCTTAGTAAGTGATGACATCAAGATTCAGAAACCCTTGTCCATTAATTCTGAGTTTCTATATAAAAGCAATCTCTCACTCAAAAACTTGCTTTCAAGAGTTTCCCTCCAAAACATTGTCTAGCTCATGAATTGCCTTCTACTCTAGAAAAAATTAATAATCATTTCTAGGGATACAAATATAAATGCATATTTGATAGAGTCTTTACTTGAGTTACTCGAGCCATTAAATTCAACAATTTTCCTAAATATCACTAATCTAAAATAAGAAATGATTGATTATATTGACAGTCCAGTCCCTTACGTCATCGGAATTTAGGAATCAGTGTGGAACAAAATATTCATGAGGAAGTGGAGCGAAGTTTCTGATGATACAGTTTGCTTTGTAATTGATACAGCTCTGCTTACTACGAAAGTGGACCTACCAAATAGTCCAGAACCTATGACCTCAATATTATTATAAACTTTGCAAGACATCTTATACAAGCATAATGGATTAAATGATAAAGACTTGAAAATATACTTTAAACAAGCTTTTTTCAACTACATCTTGCTAATCATTAATGATTATCGCCCTTTCAAGGTTAATTTTAAGGAAATGGAAAATGAAAAAATAGATCAATTCGGATCTTTCAAAGAAAGTTCTATAATAGGCCTGAGATAAATCTTTAAGTTTGACTCTTATCTTGAGAGTTAATAAATAGAGAATTACGATTTTTATTCGATTTTCACAGAAACTCAACTTTTTAATGACTTTATTGAAAGGGCTCTCAGGACTAATGTTGATAGAAGTCTAAGCTATTTCATTGCAAGCTTGGATGTGTTAAAGCATTCTTAGAATTTTTAAGAACTATTGAACTTCCAATAGCAAGTCATCAATGCTTTATTGATTGAAGCATCCTCTAAAACAATAACTTACTCATTCTAAGATATCATTGAAAGTTATGAGAGAGCTCTAGCCTAATTTGACAAGTCAGTATATGTTAAATCTCTTCCTCTTCATAACTCAAATGACAACGGTATATTCTATTTCAATCCTGCTAACATTAATGTAAACATCATCTATGAAATATAGAAATAAAGTTGTATTAGAAATCTTATTAAAAGGCCAACAGCTTCTAGAAAAATAAAGCCTAGTAAAAAGAGTGATCACAATCTTAATAAATAATGTTCATTTGCCACCAAGCAGAATGAATCAAGAAACCAAAGCTCATCTATTAAGGAGAATCAGTAACTTATATCTCATGCTTACTTTTAAAAAGGACCTCAAAAGGTTTCAACCCCAAAAGGTCTTCCAAGTGAAATAAAATCTATTGGCAATTTTCTATCAGAAGATGATAGTAAAAGCACGAATAGTAAGGACCTTAAAGGATCCTAAGAAGAATCAAAGAGTGAGACTTCAAGTATTAAGAGTTTCTTTAGATTCACATTCGAAAAAATTTAAAGCAAGCTGAAAAGTAACAAAAATGAGGCTCTACCATTGTCATAGTCAGGAACACCTCAAAAGCAGTTACAACTAATGTTTGATCCATCTAAATTCAAAGTCATAAGTCTATCAGGAATCAGTAATTAGGTAAAGGAGATCAAGAGATCCCCCGATAGGCAAAATCTTCCTAATCAGGCCTAATATAAGACTAATTAATAACAACAGAACAAATCAATATTTTCAACTGCTTTTGGGCCTAAAACAGGTATCAGTTATGGACGTCCTAAATGCTACTCAGAGACAGCTTCATCATAAATAAAGGGCTCTATATAGTAGTAAATTCCATCAAATGTACATTATACGGTAGATCCAAATGGTCTGGATGCTAGACCTTGTGCAATTAGCATTTCTAATAAGTCCTTCCATGACTCGCCCAACTCTTCAAGTTATATTAATGATTAGTCATTTGCCCTTACTTAAAAGGGAAGGAATGAGACTTCGTAATCAGTTGTTAAAACAGATACTGCAATGTTCAGAACTTCCTCCACTAGAGAAACCCCAATGAATTAAATGAAGCTTTTGAATGTGAACACAAATTAAAAAAACTAGAATCAGTAGCAACTTGCATATTCCATACTGAATTCTGGAATAATGATAGTAAGAGACAAGAATAGAAATACCAAGAGACTGGTTCAAAAGATTAATATTAATTTAGATCCAGAAGATTCACATCATAAGAGATAGGCCTAAAGATTATTGCAGTCATCAATGCACACTAATTAACCGTAAATATCGTAGTCACTTTCTAATTCAAGTCTACCTAATACTACCAACACAAACAGTTCATCTCAAAAGACAATAAACCCCTCAAGAAGTGGGGGCCTTGGCGGAATCTAAAATGGTAACAAAACTTAGCTAACCGCCAGTGGCTTGGATTCACCGACTGAGCTAAGCTAGAATCTGGTATAAAAGTCCTCAGAAAAGAAAATTAAAAACTAGTCCTTTAAATAAAATTCCTATGCAGGATCAAAGCCTGCAAGTAGTGGGCGATAAAAAGCTATATCATAAAATCAGCCTTACTCACAGTATGATCAGAGCTTGAAAAAGGTGCACATTACCGGTCCAATTATATAGCCTTAGTAAAACTTCAAGTAATACTAAACTAAGCCAAAAGCTACTCTCAAGATTAAAAGAGATAGTGATATTCCTAAGTCCTCGCTAGCCAACAATCTTAATACCAATATGAACATTGGTTCTTTAGTAGCTATTAAGAAGAATTTTTCAGACAAGAATACTCCGATGTTCTCTCGTCAGGATAAACATAACACTAATAGTGCTACTTCATCTTTGAATCAACAACCACTGGAGTTTTCTTAGGTTAATAGTTCTCATTAATAAAGCAATTCAAAGAAAAACATTCTAAGTAATCAAAAGTAAAGTGAGATCATTAGCATTGATGATAACATTGATGGCTTCTAAGCTAGGATCAGATCAATATCTTATCAAATGAATTAGCCAGAGTTTCAATCTCATCTTAAGTATAAGATGAAGAAGGACAAGTCGCTAAAAAACCTATCAAACAGCAACAGTAATCACAACATACAGTCCCCTAGCCTACAGAAAGAACCGCTGCTTAAAGCCAAAGCTTTGAAACAGACACACAACACAGTGAGCAAGATAGGGACTGGAGTTAGCGGAGACCAGCATATATCAGTATAAAAGAGCTAGATTTAGTCTTTTAACGAATATTCGACTTACGAAATTCAATAGAATCAGACAGTTCAATATGAACCTATGATTGATACAGAGTTATCTTCAGACACTCCAAAGATGAAGTTCGACGGGCCTACACAAAATTTTGACTAGAGCAGTTCTTCGAACCCACACAACACCAAGACAATGGGGTAGTTGTATGCAAGTGGCAGAAGGGAGCAGCATATGTCAAGTGAGGACCTTTAATCTTAGTTTGGAGTAATCACTCATAAATACTCTTAAGGGTAGCTAGAAAAAATAAATTAATGAAGTGTTAACTCTTAACTTATCTAATATCTCTTTAACTTTATATCATCATTATAATTATTAAAGATAGTTTTTATTAGAGGTTAAGAATATAAATAACAAGCGTTCAATTTGTTAATAATATGTGATGATGCTTGCATAAGGCAAGTAAGCACTGCTCTATGTAAGTTTCATATTTGTATCAAGGAGTTATGCTGTCAATCATAACGACTACTTATTGTTCAGTTCAGAGATTATTCTACTTGTTGGGCTACACTGAAACGGGGTTGGAGTTTGATTGAAAGTTGCTTCCTGCTTTCGAGTTATTAATTGATATAGTGTGGACAGATGGCTTTCTGTATGAATCAGGTTGGGAATCACTCAATCTAGGAGATTCAGTTATTTCAATATCAATAATCTTACTGGCTATTTCTTTGCTGAATATCTTTCTCGCTAACCTTAAACTTCGTTGGCTACTTAATGTGATGTGAGTTGCCCAAGATTGTTGCCTTTAGATTCTTCATTGACTTAATATTCTAAGTCCCCCCATCCATACTTCTTTATAAGCCTTCCTTAAATAAAGGCCCCTTGTTATCATCACTATTAAATGATATTTATCACCTAGTTATCTTACTCTTCGTTAATAGTCCTGAACAGGATGTATTAGTCCTTCTGGCTCTGAATAGCATTAGGAATCTTATGAGTGCTATCCTCTGTTGCCACATCATAATGATCTTAACAATTAAAATAACAAGTTAGCTTACCCTGAACAGTTCTGCTCTATGTATGTGCTTGCTTAATGTACGTGTAATTGGCTTGATTGTTTGCAGGCATAACATTGCTGAGCCTTGACTTTGACTGCGAATTATCCCTACTCATGTTGTGACTGCTATTCGCTGTTTATCTAACATTCGCGGCAGATATAGTGTTATTAATCCCTATTTGATGCATTTTACAACATTCTGAAATTACTTACAATTTTAAGATATATTAGCAGTTTTGGTCTTCTTATGATGTCCGCCCTGAATAGATGAGGAAAGTGATTGGTTAAATGAACTCTAGCCTAGCTGAGAGTTTAATCTATCACTTGAAGTCTTTTAAGAGAACCTTTTGCCAGTGTTAAGCGCCGTGTAATTAAACTTGTCTTGGGATTTCTAGAGAGTCATCTTGTAAAGATTGCTTTTGGCTATATTTTTTTCTGGCGATTTTTAAATGTTAATGGTCTTTTTCTGCAGTATTCCTTAGGCAAAGAGATGTGCTGCCTTGTTTCTGAATGATTTCTACGTGTTCTCTACTATGTCTTTGACATTAGGATTAGTAATGAAATACTCTGAATGATTCTTCATTAATGTTTTTTTAGTATACATCTTATTGCCGTCCATGCTATTGTTGTTTAAACTTTTTTGATTTTCAATTTGTGTTGAGTTTCTTGGATTAGTAAATGAATTCTGATAAGGCCCTTGTATAAAACTGCCACTATGGGGTAATTTAGATCCTGAAGAGGGATTTATATTTTAGTTGGCAGAGGGAGTATCTCTGAGAGCAGATGTAGATTACTGGGTTGATAATGTCTGAGTGTAGGCTCCTAGAATCTTGTTGTTAGATTTTGCCATAGATAGAGATAATTGACTCTTTTTATTGCTACTTGCTAGAAGTTGATTTTATTTTGACATTGTGCTTTGAAGAACATGATCATCTCCTGAAGGATTATTGTAAAAGTTAACCATTTATAGAGCTTGAGCATAGGGCATATTTTAATCAGCTCCAGTTTAGTAATGGCTGGGCATTTGATAATTTATTAACGGCTAGGTGGCCTCAAATTAAGAATTGAAAGGTAAATTGCCTAGCTGTCCTCCTAGTTGCTGAGTGGTACTATAAACAGACCTGAACCTTTCAAGCTCCTCTTGCATCTAGTTCATCTGACCTTTATACTTCGTCTCTGCTTGCTGTAATGTCTCTTTCCTCATTCTTTCACTCTTTAACTCGGTGCTTGAGACCTGCTCTTTGAGAATCTTGATTTCACCTCTCAGAGAGTCTAGATCTTTTTCCTTGAGTCCAATCAACTCGTCTAGTCTACCCTTGTCTCTCTAGAGCTGTTGAATCTACTCACCGAATGTCTACTCCTTCTTTAGGAATTCCTTCTCATCGCATTCCATTTTGTATTTTAAGTTATCAATGTAAATCTTCAGCTGTTACTCTATCTAAAATATGATTGAAAGTTTAAAATCCTACTGAGATATGATTTCTGATGTCTGCTTCATATTGCTACATCTGCTCTTCATACCCCATCTAGGAGGTGGTATTATTAACGCTTGAAAAAGATTTGTTAGAATCATTGATATGAGATATTTTGTTGTACTATTCACTTTCATTCCCTAATGGTGTCTACTTTTACAGTAACAATCCTTTCTTTTTACCTATATCAAAGTTATAATCAAATACACTCTCTAATATTCAAAGTAAGTAAATCCATTTGGCTCTATTGGGCTTATGATGTGTTTGCATGCTTACTTTTTTATATGATGACATTACTCTAGGAAGACTTAAATGACATCTGACTGTCATTAAGATTTTGGTCCTCCATCTTTAGGTTTAGGAGTATTTCAATTGAAGATCTGATGTAATCTATGATGATTTTTGTCTGCACAGTTCGTAGTTTCTATCGTTCCTCTACTAACTTCGAATCATCAAGTCCATTCAACTAATTAGCAATGGTTATGATCAGACTTAAATTGTCTAGGTTTTACCTCATCATTGGAGCGAACTTTAACATCAAGGTACAAATCTAGGATGTGCTCTCTCACTTCGTTTAAATCCTCTTTCAACGATGCCATTACTCTTTCAAGATTATTTTTATTGTTAAATCTAATATTGTTTAATTCTGCAACCATCAATACTATTACTTAATTCTATAGCGGGGTTTTGGGGTTTTGGGGTTTTGGGG